GCACACATGCCTGGCGTGAGTTTAAGCCACCGGATCCGGGACTCGAACCACGGTCGACTACGTGGGAGTCCAGCGACATAGCCATTATGCTAACTGCTGGTCCCACTCTGTAGTTCGTGACAGTTAATAAACAATTTTCAAAATTTTAAAATACTGAATTTTAAAGATAATGTTCAAAATATTTCTTGTAATTTTGTATAATTTTGTTTGTGAATCTATAACAGCAGAAACAGTATGGTTTTAAATATTTTTAAGAAAATATTTACATGTCAGCTATTCAAATTGTTGAAAGGCAAATGCCCAGCCCATTAGTCGCACATAAACCTTCTCAGTTCAGCCCTGCCTACCAAGTATTCTGTGATATACCATCTGATAGCAAAGATCAGTCTCTTTTTTTTCCTTCAAAGTCTTTCTCAAGATAATCCTCTGGTGTGGTTGCTCTTTTGCAATCTCTACTGATTACAATGCTGGCTGGGCTGGAAAAGTCCAGGTTATTTTATGCTATAAATGCTTTCATATATCTTCTCTGATCCTCTCTGCCATGCAGAACTATTTATGGTGCCAAGCAATCTTTCTACAAGCTTCTGTTGGCTTACTTGAGATCTACCTTAGTTCCATAGTCTTCTGATTGATCTTCAGATATGACATTCCAGTCAAAGCTCTGTCCAATAATGAGTATTTCCAATTTCTGATTCAATGCAACAAGCATTATTGAACTTATGCAAATGACCCTTCTGCCACAAAATTAGAATATTCCCAAATATTTCCAATTCCAAAAGGGTCAGGAAGGAAGGAAAGTTTACATTTCAATTTAAAGAAACAAACAAGAAAAGTGTTTTAACAAGTGGCTGAACCTTTCAACAACTCAAAAGAAAGTAAAATGTTTAAATTGGGAAAACAAAGCATAGTAAAAAAAATCATTAATGTTTTACTCAGAAGTCATAAAATTCTATTTCACCAGTTTAGTCTTATGTTTAGACTATCTTCTTTTGCATATGCAGTGTTGCTGTGGTCCAATCTTTTCGTTTAAACCCCGGAAGTTAGCATTCAACATTGTTATTGATATTTCTTGTCCCTAGCATTAAATTGGTCATTTTCTTGGTTGCCTTTTGTTCTCTTATTTCTGTGTGTGCCTTTAGTTTTCCTGGTTGAGCACTCCTTCCAGAACTTCTTGAAGAGCGTGTCTTCTACTGGCATATTCTTTCAGGTTTTGTTTATCTGAGAATGTTTCTATCCTTTCTTTCCATATGAAAGATAATCTTGCCGGGTATAGTATTCTTGGTTGAAACTGTTTTTCACTTAACACTTTGAATACATTTTCCCATTCTTTCCTTGCTTGCATTGTTTGTGATGAGAGGTCTGAGGGCAGCCTGATGGGATAACCTGTATAAGAAACCTGATGTTTCTCTCTTGCCAATTTTAGTATCTTGCATTTGTCTGTGAATTTGACCAATCTGGCTATGATGTGCCTTGGAGAAGGTCTTCTTGGGTTGATACTATTAGAGGTCCTTTGTGCTTCTTGGGACTGGATATTTGAATGCCTCTTTAGATTTGGAAAGTTTTCTGCCAAGATTTTATACAATAGATTATCAATACCCTTATTTGTTTCCTCACCTTCTGGGATACCAATTATCCAGTTTTTTGGGCACTTAATACTGTCTAGTATTTCTCATATACTATTCTCAAATTTGGGGGTTATTTTCTCAGTTTTTTTTTATTGTTGTTTTTTCTAGATCAGAGGTTTTGCCTTCAACATTCAAGATTTGATTTTCTGCATGGACTAATCTGTTTTTAATACTTTTGAAGGAGGTTTTGATTTCCTGGAGGGTAGACTTCATCTCTAATAGCTCCATTTTATTCTTTATTTTTGGTGTATATTTCCTCTTTCAGATCATGAAATAACTTCAATACCTTCTGGAACTCCTTGTCTATCTTCTCCTGCATCTTCTGGAGTTCACTATCTCTCAGCTTTTGCATCTAGTTTAGTTTTGTCACTATAAATATTCTGAAGTCTCTATCAGGTAATTCCATGAATTCATCTGTACTGTCTGTGGATGATGAGGAATTGTTCTTTTCCCGTAGGGTAGAGATATTTCTTGGTTTATCATGTTTCTTGTGCATCTCTGATTGTTTCTGGTCATTCCGTGACAAAATCTCTCCTCCACAGTGCTTAGCAATTTTGTCTGAATATTTTGGGAGTCTAGGAGATGGGTAGAATTTGATTTTTTTTTCATTGAAATGAATAGAAATTGAATAGACATTTCTCCAATGATAATTCAAAATTAGCCAGTAAGTGTGTAAATAGATGCACAACATTATTGGTCACTAGTTTTTCAATCACGCAAGATAATTTAAAGGTCTGGTGTACAACATCATAATATAGTTAAATAATGTATTAATACATAAAGTCTGTTGAGAAAGTAGGCATCATGTTAAGTGTTTTTATCACACTAAAAAAACAATAATCAAAATTAGGATAAGACTGTAATTACACAAGATGAAATACTTGACAGGAATTCTTGAGAGGCTTATAAGTTAAAACTTAAAAACAAAAAATGAAGAAAGAAAGAAAAATACCATTATCAGCAGATAATGTGATGGTTACAACACTCTACTCCCATCCAGACAACCATGGCCTGAGTCTCAAACTTTGTAGCTTCAAAATCACACTGGGCACATGAATGTGCATGCTAAAATCCCAGGAAGAGGATGGAAGAGAAGGGATTGTGGCATGGTTATCCTCCCCTTGGGGGAGACAATTTTTCACTTTTCCTCTCATTGTTTCTATCTGTCTCTCTCAAGTGAGCACATCCACCCTATGGAAAAAAAAACTTATAAAAGAAAAAGGGACCAGCAGTTAGTGTAATGGCTATGTCGCTGGACTCCCACGTAGTCGACTGCGGTTCGAGTCCCAGACCCGGTGGCTTAAACTCATGCCGGCGCGTGTGCGTGTGTGCCCAAGATCCCGAGAGGAGAATGGAGGAGAAGGGATTGCGCGGTGTGGCCATCCCCCCTGAGGGGGATTTCTCGCTTTCTATCTCTCTGTCTCTCTCTCTCTCTGTCTGGTGAGTGCATACACCCTATAGCAAAAAAAAAAAAAATCTAAAAAAAGAAAAGAAAAAGAAAACCCTTGAATAAAACTTAGAAAGATAAAAAAAAAAAGGAATAATGCAAACCAAATTTACTTCACATTCATTGTGATGGTTACAATAATAATAACCAAAAATAGCAGGTTTTGGTGGAATGTAGACTGGTTGGAGCTCTCATTCAGACTATCAACATTAAACTTAGAGTTACCAAATGACCCCTGAGTTGAACTCCTTGGTATCTACCACAGAGAAATTACAACACCTGAGAACTTTGCCGTAAATATTGGAAGTAGCATTATGCATATTAGCCTAAAAAGTAGTGCAAGAAATGCACACTGAAAGTATAAACTTTCCAATTTTATTTTAAAATTAAAATGCATAAACAAATGTGGTTATATCAATACCTGAAATACTGTTTGGCAATGATAAGAAATGAGGTGCTTGGGACAGCAACTTAATCTGGTGATTAAGAAACCAGGATCTCAGATGGCAGATTGTGTAGTACAATTCCCAGACCCAGTGGATTGAAAAATACACTAGGAATATGTGCATGTGTTCAAAATCCTGATGAAATGGAGAAATGGAAGAGAAGGCATTGCACAGTGGCCATTCACAGTGAAGGATTCTTTCTCCCTATGTCTTTCTTGTACTCTCTATCAAGAGCATACTCTCTGGCAATTTTTCTTTAAGGAAAAGAACTTAAGTACTTGTACATACTACAACCTACACAATCCTTAGAAATGTTTTGCAAGGTGACATTCAGTCAGGAAAGACCACATGTGATATCACTCCATTTATTCTAAGTTTTTAGAATAGGCAAATCTACAGAGATAGAAAGTGGAAAAGTGTTTTCCAGAACCTGGGGCAAGAGAAAAATAAGGAGAGACTATTCATGGGTGTGAGGTTCTGTTTGGGGGTGATTAAAATATTCTGGTGCTTTGACAAGTATTTGGTAAGAGGTACCAAAAGTTTTGTCAATAGACATGATCTCTTAATGACCTTTTCTGCCAAAAATCTTACTCAGAGAAACACACAGTGTGTTTAAAAAAGATTGAATATCTACACATTGCTTACAGATGTACAAAATTAGTCACATTAGAAGAGGCCAATATGGGTAAACAAGTGTAGCACAGCCATGCTAACATGTGATAGTCACAGAAATACTAACATGAATGCACATTTAATTATATAATGTTATGTGTACAATGAATGTTAGGGATCCAACACCATTTGCAAGATGAGGCTAACAATGTGTGTTCATGTTGTTACTGTTACAAGTGCTGTAGAAAATTCTAGGTCTTCAAAACTACATGATGCCCGAGTATGTCCACATACTTCTCTGCCTGACAGAGAGAAAGCAGAATACAAAGCACGTATTCTGCCTTGTGATGTGGACCAAGGGTGGCAACCCTCAAATACGCATTGACTTTCAGGAGAAAACATGTTTCTATTTTTTACACAGAATGCCTGAAATCAGAGGTTATTTTGACCACTTATAATCACTTTTTGCCACCCTAACACTGGTAGAGAAGATAAATTAGTGGCTGCTATCAAATAAGAAATTATCTGTTGATTGTAAAGTGTATGGTAATTTCTTTGCCTAATCTAAAATACAGTGTATTTGTGCTGGGAACGTTCAATATATACATGCTGTAAAAATGTTCCATGACTGATTGTGAAGAAAGAAATAAGAAAAGAAAAAATAACACAGATGTAAAAATAATTGTCAGAAAATGCTGCATGTTTTTATTTTGGCTAGTGATAAAAAGATAAAGAGATAAAAAAATAAAATAACTGGAAGGCACAGATATTGGACAAGAAGAGGCCTTCATACAAGACAAGTCTTAAATTCTATCTAAAGATCAGAAATCCTATCAGCTCTCTCCTGTGCAAAGTGTCCTGGAGAAATGACAAGTTTCAAATGATACAAACTAAATTGCTAAGGATATGCACATCCATGGAAGAAAATTGCATATTGCCTAGCCTTCTCCTGAGACCACAGACATGTTAATAGAGTGAAGATTTTTACAAGGTGTTTCACTATGGCAACCTATATAGTATGCACAGAACACAGGCTATTTGCTGGCCAACTTCTCATTAAACATTTAACTATAGTAACTCAGTTGTGACAGATGCCTGCTGCAGAGGTACAAAAGGCCAGATTTAGGGCAATTTTTGCATTGTTTTTTAGAAAAGTTAGGAATGAGGATCAAAAGGGTATTATTCCTCTCTGATAAATTATCTTTCTTGGTGATTTTATTTTTATTTATTTTTTTATTTTTTTGCTATAGGGCATGTGTGCTCACTGGAAAGACACAGAAATAGAAAGCAAGAAATCGAAGAGATAGAAAGCAAGAAGTCACTCCACAGTGGTGACAGCCATGCTACAATCCCTTCTTTTTCATTCTCCTCTTGGGATCCTGGGCATGCACACTTACCTGGTGTGAGTTTAAGCTGCTATGTCCAGGACTTGAACAGCATTTGACCATGTGGGATTCCAATGACATAACCATTACACAACCATTACAAACTCCTTGGTGTTTTTTTTACAGTTAATATCACAAGCCCAAAGACCTGATGCCTCCACAGAATTGAATGATTGTTTTTCTATGTCCGTATAAGATGGTGGTTATAAGGCACTCGTGGCTTCTCTACCAGACATATTTCTGCAATGCATTTTTCAGCTGAAAGTACTCAGTTAGCCCCTTGATGCTAACAATGATTTAACATAGACAGTGCCTCGGTTTGCATATAAACCTCACTACATGGCTTTGTGTGTAGGAGAGACTCAGGTCCCAATCTTCTCACTCATTGTGGGCTTCCCAACAACTGAATATGGGGATAGTAATGATGGAATGGACAACAGACTATATTGATTTCTCTCTTCTGTCTTGAAAAAGTGAAGGGAAATTAAAAAAAAGGAAAAAAATGGTAATATATATATAACAAGGAACTTACCAATAATCTTTCACTTCTTGATTTAGTCTCATCAGGAAAGATAGCCCAAATATGTCTCTTTTATCTAGCAATAAATAAAGAAAAAGAAACCCACCCAGTACCAGGTCCCCATCTCTGTAGACAATTGACTTCAGGTTTTGGAAGCAATTGTCAAATGTCTCACATGCCGTCTGTAAAGGCTCCAAAATTAGTAAGAGAAAAATCAAAGAGACTGAAATGTCAGTAGACATAACCTAATGTGTGCTGAGCTAAGAAGATAGAACTGGATTGGTTCTCCAGGCTCACCCCTGTGCAGGGAGAATCAAATTCTTCAGTGGGCACTGACATGTCCCATTTTTTTTTTCCTGCCTGCTCCTAACTTGTAAAAAAGTGTGAGCCAAGCTGCATGAAAGACAAGGTCATAGCTAGGAGCTGAAAAAAGGCATTTCTAAGGGAATCCCTGTGCAAAGACTCACTCTTAGTATCACTGTGATCTGAGGTCTGTCTTCCCTTTCTTTTTACTGTGTCACTTAAGTCCCATCCAAGAGCTCTGGGGATCTCTTTGCCCTGAGGTTCTGCACCTGCCACCCCCCATTTTGGAAAAAAAGAAAAAATTAAAACATATTTGGGGCTTTATTCTCCTTGGATTCTATAACTTTCTTAAAGCTCAGTAAGGCTTTCAGGACCACTCCTTCCTGAAACAAGCTCTGTAATTTTGTGCCCATGAGAGATTGAAATTGATTGTGTAGGAAGACTGCCCCTAGGCATTTGGTTGAATGAAAAAAAAAAAAGTCTAGTATTGAAATCAATGAAACACCTACCAGGAAAATTCGAAATGATGCTTTAGCGAGGAGAAGAAGGGCTGACATCAGTCATTGGTGGCTCCTTAGCAAAGCACAGAACACATTTCATTACTATGTCCACCATCACTCCCTGGTCGGCAATATCAACCTTGGAGAAATGGGCTTTATGATATACAAAGGAGTAGGCAATATTCCAGAGAAGATTGTATTATTCTTTATCACACCATCTTTCACTAAAGTAACCCACTGACCTTAGCCTGGTGTCCTGTCCTCTGCCCTTTGATAATTCAAACACTAAGTCCTCATCATTACATGTTTTAATTTGTAAAAACTAAAAAGAACTTACTCTTGATCAAGCATTTACATTTTAAAGTATCTTTTTCATCTACTCATTTGACCAGAAGTATTTATAATACCTTTTGCTTCTTTCCTTGTTTATTTATGTATGTATTTATGTATAGGGCATATGTGCTTTCCAGAGAGAGACAGAGAGAAGAAAAATGAGAAATCACCTCATACGTGGGTTGGCCATGTTGCAATTTTTTTTCCCTTCTCTTTTCCTCTTAGGATTTTGAGCATGCAAACACACGTGTGCCCACATATGATTTCCAAGGTGCCAGCTGTAGGAATTGAACCTTGGTCAGTCATGTAGAAATCCAGTGCCTTTATCATCACACAATCTGATAACACTGATAATTTATTTATTATATTTCTGTTGTTTGACTAAGTATACATTTTATAGATTTGTATATAAGAAGGTGTCTTGGAGACAATCAGATGATGTAGTGGGTAAAGTAACTAGATCCCACATGACTGACCATACTGCTCAAGTCCTAGATTTGGCTGCTTGAAGATCACAGGGGGCCTGTGTGTGTATGCATCTTCCAAATCCTGAAAAGAGAATGGAGAAGGTATTATATCATGGTCACCACTCTCAAAAGTTATTTCTCTTCCCCCCCCCCCACCTCCAGGGAGAGTTTGGTATTATATCATGGTCACCACTCTCAAAAGTTATTTCTCATCCCCCTCCAACTCCAGTGAGGGCCTGCATTGTATAGCAAAACAAACGAATAAATAAATTTTTAAAAATAACATTTTGTTAGATATTAAACTTGGGAAATGGAGAAGTCCAGCCATTTCACATATTCATTACCTCACAACTTATGTTTTGGTGGTGAGAACATCATATCTGCTCTCTCAGTATTTTTCAAGTAAATGATATGATGTCATTAACTCCATTGTGTTCAATGGACCCTTACAATCATTCTTGTTGGCTAACTAAAATTTTGTGCTATTTAACCAATATTTCCTAGGGTTGTTTACTTTCAGCCTTGGAAACAATCATGTTACTCTGTTTCTATAAATTTGACTTTTTTTTGTTTTAGTTTTGCTATACGGTTTGTGCAGTCTCTGGTGAGGGTGAGAGCGAGAGTGAGAGAGCGAGAGAGCAAGAGAGCGAGCGAGAGAGAGAGAGAATCACCCTCCGGGGAGGATGGCCATACTGGAATCCCTTCCCCATCCTCTGTTTGGGATTTTGGGAATGCATGCATATGCTCACTACAAGCTACC